TGTTTTTTTAGAGTCGGGTTTGCTGTTATAACACGTGGTTATTAAGCTAACTATACGTCTTGATGTTCTAACTTTATTCATTTGTTGCGTTTATTGAAGCTTGTCCTTTGGGCTCTTTTTGTCCTCGAGGGGAACTCAATAAAACTAGCGGGATATGTGCACCGTAAGTACTTCCTTTTAGTTCTGTATCTCGTGCATTCGTATTTTTGGCATACTTTAATATTTATCAGCAGAATCAATCTGCAGATATCGTTATCAGTTACCTCCTGGAAAAGATAACCATAGTTGTGGAGGAGCAGATATTTGGGCCGACATTGTCAGTAGTAGCGAGGTATTCTGTTCACCAGGATCATACTGTCCATCTACAATCATAAAAAATCCTTGCAGTAGAGGGTATTAACATTTTTCCCTCAACTTTTACTTATCAACATTAGTTTCTTTTGGCTTATTGTTTGATAAAATTTGTAACAATCGACTTTCATATATTATTCTTTTGAGCTAATTTTGTTTATATATGAATTGCAGGTATTACTGCAGAACAGGTTCTACAGCTCAAGAGAGTAAGTGTATCCGAGGATGATTTAATTTATCCGGTATAAGATGATAATTCCATTGAACCTTTCCGTTTTCTTGATTTTTGTCTTCCGCAGGATGTTTCAGACTTGCAAGTTGTGAGCCTAAATCAGCAAATCAAAATATTACTGCATATGGTCTCCTGGTTTTTGTGAGTAATCTTTAACTCTTTCAATTTATGAAGAAATCGATACTCATATTATACGAGTTTAATAGAAATGCAACTTAGCGTAAAAAAGTTATACATGTCACATTTCAATGATACTTGATATCATTCATGTCTACCATGGTCCACAAAGAACTTACTATTCAATAATTGATGTAGGCCGGCTTGTGTTTTTTGCTGATTATTATATACAACTGTTCCGATCAAGTTCTCGCGACTCGAGAAAGAAGACAAGCAAAATCAAGAGAAAGGGCTGCTGCAAGTGTGAGAGAAACACAAGCGCGCGAAAAATGGAAATCAGCAAAAGACATTGCTAAGAAACATGCAACAGGACTACAATCACAATTATCGCGTACATTTTCGCGCAAAAAAACATCGAAGATGCCGGATTTCAAAGGTGTGTTACCACCTATGGTACCTGGTGCATTAAAAGGAAAGAAAAAAGATAAAAACAACCTCTCAAAAATAATAAATGATATAGAGCAAGATCCTGATAGTCAAGAAGGGTTCGATGTGCAAATAGGAGATAAGAATGTGAAAAAGCAAGCGCCTAGGGGTAAGCAGTTGCATACTCAGAGTCAAATTTTCAAGTACGCGTATGGTCAGATCGAAAAGGAAAAGGCGTTACAGGAACAAAATAAGAACTTGACATTTTCTGGAGTGATTTCAATGGCTAATGACATTGATATAAGGAAAAGGCCTACAATTGAGGTTGCTTTTAAAGACTTAACACTCACTTTGAAAGGGAAAAACAAGCATCTGTTAAGATGTGTGACTGGTAAGATTTATCCGGGCCGAGTTTCTGCAGTTATGGGTCCATCTGGGGCTGGTAAGACAACATTTCTTTCTGCTTTAACTGGAAAAGCAACTGGATGCCACACAACCGGTCAAGTTCTTGTAAATGGTCAGGAGTCGCCTATTCGATCATTCAAGAGGATCATTGGCTTTGTTCCACAAGATGATATTGTCCATGGAAATTTGACAGTTGAAGAGAATCTGTGGTTTAGTGCCAGATGCAGGTTTGCAACATATTGAAATCAATACCTATTCTCATCTCTCATTGTGCATGTTAATAAGTGCAGTGTTGTCAATCCCAAATCGTGGAAATTTCGCTACACTACAGTATTATAGCGCCTATATCCGTTATTTGACAATAGTGTATCGCAAAAAATGATGATTTGTTCAAGTACTTATTCAGTACTCTTTCAGTGCCTTTCAGATGGCAGAGTTAAGAATTATGTTCTTTCAAACTATTGATTATTCTCTTCTCACTTTTTACTGCATTTATGTCATTGCAGACTCTCGGCTGATCTACCGAAAGAAGAGAAGGTGTTGGTGGTTGAAAGAGTCATCGAATCTTTGGGTCTGCAGGCAATACGAGATTCTTTGGTTGGGACAGTAGAGAAACGAGGAATCTCTGGAGGTCAAAGGAAGAGAGTAAACGTTGGATTAGAAATGGTTATGGAACCTTCTCTTCTAATTTTGGATGAACCTACATCCGGTTTGGACAGTTCATCTTCACAATTACTGCTTAGAGCACTTAGACGCGAAGCTCTTGAAGGTGTAAACATATGTATGGTCCTTCACCAACCGAGGTAATTTTTAATAGCAAATGATAACGAGTACTTTAAAGACATAGACAATGACTTCTAATGCTTCTGGCATAGAAATCAAAACGAACATTGATTTGCAACGATGTCATGTACACAAAATAATAACCCTTTTGTTTATTTGTTTTCATGTGGCGTCCAGTTACACGTTGTTCAAGATGTTTGACGATTTTATACTGCTTGCTAAAGGAGGTCTAACAGTGTATCATGGACCTGTGAACAAAGTGGAAGACTACTTCTCTAGCATGGGGGTCGTTGTTCCCGACCGTGTCAACCCTCCAGATTACTACATTGACATTTTAGAAGGAATATTAAAACCAAGTGCGAGTTCAGGAGTGAACCATAAACAACTACCAGTTAGATGGATGCTTCATAATGGATATCCTGTGCCTATGGATATGCTGCATACTATAGAAGGAATGTCGGCTCCAACTGGTGTTCCGACACAAGGAGCACCTAACCCTAATGCAAAGCTTACTGCTGCGCCTTCTTTTGCCGGAGAACTTTGGCAGGACGTGAAGTGCAACGTTGAGTTGAAGAGAGACAATCTTCAACTCAACTTCTTAACTTCAAACGATTTGTCCAACAGGACTACACCAGGATCTTTCACACAATACAAATACTTTCTTGGAAGGCAAGTCACAGGAGGAAGGATATTTCAGCTAACTATTATCAAAACTTGATTTTTGATTTGATCTAAATTGGTTCCGTGCAGAGTTGGTAAGCAGCGGCTGCGAGAAGCTAGAACGCAAGCTGTAGATTTTCTGATTCTGCTGCTGGCTGGTGTTTGCTTAGGAACACTTGCCAAAGTGAGCGATGAATCGTTTGGAGCAACAGGGTATACATACACTGTAATTGCAGTATGTAAGTTTCATCTGAATTCCTAAGGGCTTATTTGGTGTCTAAATATATTTTGTTTTAACTTTCGGTTACAAAATATTCACCTTATTTTCAATCTGTTTTCTCAAGCCAAACTTTGTGACTTCATAATGTTTTTTTTTCAGCACTCCTTTCCAAGATTGCTGCTCTGAGATCGTTCTCATTGGATAAGTTGCATTACTGGAGAGAAAGCGCTTCTGGGATGAGTAGCCTCGCTTACTTTCTTTCAAAGGATACAGTTGACCATTTCAGTACAATTATCAAACCTTTGGTTTATCTCTCCATGTTCTATTTCTTCAACAATCCAAGATCATCTTTCACAGATAATTACATTGTTCTACTATGTTTGGTGTATTGTGTCACTGGCATAGCTTATGTGTTGGCAATCTTCCTTCAACCCGGTCCAGCCCAGCTAGTAAGTATCTAAATCATTTCAACCATAGTTGATGTGATTATTCCTTACTCACTCTTAGTTACAAGCCATTTCTTGTACTATGTTACGCAGTGGTCCGTGTTACTACCAGTAGTTTTGACTCTCCTAGCAACTTATGACAATGAAGAGGAAAGCAAATATGTGGAATTTCTATCTGATTTGTGCTACACCAAGTGGGCTCTTGAAGCATTTGTTATATCAAATGCTAAAAGGTTTGGATTCTGATATATGCTTGTTTACTAATACTTCAGACTGAAAAAACGTTTAACTATCTGACACTTGGAGATGTCTGATGCTAATAGTTGTGATTATATATAATCACTTCTATTTTATCAGAGTCTTTGTCGTGTCCGTCTAAGTGCTCCATAGGTAAATCACGAGTAGAGTTCTCAGCCGTGTCCGTCTAAGTGCTCCATAGGTAGATCACGACTAGAGTTCTCAGCTGACTAATTTATGACATTTTTTTTCACCATGTAGATATTCTGGAGTTTGGTTAATAAGCCGATGTGGTGCACTCAACAAATACGGCTATGATCTGAAACATTGGTACCAATGTTTAGGACTCCTTGTTGTGACAGGAATAATTAGTCGCATGCTTGCATTTTTTTGTATGATGACATTCCAGAAGAAATAGTTTCAGCATTCAATCCTCTGATTTTTTATTCGGATAAATTAAAGACTACATGTCCAATACTCTGGCTGGTGCTACAACTAACTTATGAGTCATGAACTATGCTCACCAACTAGTAAAGCAATGTGACATGTGTTGTATTGTATGTATCCTGGTATAAAAATAGAAGATTATCAAGCAAGTTTGAGAGCAATTGTTAGGTGTGGATAAAGTAAAATAGCCTTAGACTTTCTTAGAAGATACCCTTTCTCACTAATTGCTGTTTTCAAAGCAGTTAGTAGTTTCCAATATGCTTCAACGGCAAGCTCAACATAACACAGTATAGTTCAACAGTTGTTTAGTTTAACAGTTATTATTCATTCCTCCACCAATTGGTTTGGTGGTGACAACAGCCAAATGTATGATATCACACTATCAATGTAATTTATAAATTATTCTATTCTTTCAATAAAGGTGTGTATGAATTGCTAGTTCTAACATACATTTATTGCCTTATCAGATACTAAAATTCTTTAAACAAGAAAAAAACAAGAAAAGAGAGACTAGCATCTAAAAATTAAAAATAAATTATGCAACAAACTGTTAGTACCCCATTTCACTCCTTGAAAGTATGCAAGAGTAGTTGTTAAACTTCGTAAATATTTTTTAAGTGTCTCTATAATGTGATCCATGTTCCTGAACTACGCGAATCATCTATGATGAAAGTTTTTATCTCCATAGCTTATCTCCCATGAATTTGAGAGCTGGAACGCCCCTTATTTCCATATCCACCAAGGGTACCTGGCATAATCTCAAGCCAGCAAGTTCTGAATCATTGCGGATAGTTTCAATTGCGCGCATTTGATCCTGCATATAAGTCAATCAACATACAACCAATCGAATCAAAACAAATTGACCAATAATAAAGCGGCGTGCATGCATGACTAGCACCAACCAAGGCATATTAAAAAGATGGATGAGTAATTTCTGATTACCTTTATTTTCATTGAACAAAACTTGCAGTCCGACGTAGGAGTTAAGACCTGATTAATGATTAGTCTTTTAACAGTCACACTTTCTTTCTTCAAGGATGCATGTAATCTGGACGATTCACTAATTGCCATAATCTTGATGAGGCCATAATCAAACAATCACCATATGAGTGAAGTGAAAATTATATAAAAGCAGACAAAGTATTTTACTATCAGATTTGATGACAAGCAAGCCCATTTGAATAATCAACTTTAGTATTTCAGTTTCCATGTGAAGCTTAGCCTTACCGTAGGAATCGTCACTATTATAAATTCGGTAGTGTCTGGATTATGGAAAAGATCATGTACTTTTGCCACTCTCTCCTTAAGCTTTTCAAGTTTGTCTAACTGCAAGTTCAAATACAAAATAATAAGACTTTTGAAAAGGGGGAATAATAATAATAATAATATACAAATATAATAGCTTACAGGATTGTTTTGAGGTTGTTCTTTTCCCAACAAGGAATTGAAGACTGAGCCTAATTTCGCCTTCATCTGGACAGAGAAATTGATTTAGTAAAAATTATAGTATAGAAGATGAACATGGCCTAGTTAAATAAAAAATGAGGTAGTATAAGCTTTAATGGACATATTGGTTATACCTTAATAAGTTTGCCTATAGATCCATCCAAGATTTCAGGCAATGACAGTAGCCAAAGTGTATGACCCTATTGACAGATTCATAAACAATTTTTTTTTCTTCCTATGTTTGCATAAACACATCATAAACGAACTAATAATTGTTACTAACCGTTGGCGGTGTATCAAAAACAATCCGACTGAACTTACTATATTCTTCAGACTCAAGAAATTGCATCACCTGGATTAAAATCATAAAATGGCATAATCAGGTGATAAAGCAGAACACCTTTTCCATGCTATGCTTAATGTTCTCAATGCTTGTATTAAAATAAATAAATAGATAAATAAACAAGTATACATGCCTTAGTAATTGCAAGGATTTCATCTGTTCCAGGTGGAGGAGTGTGCAACAGCTCTTCAAGCTTAAGTTCCCCTAACTACAGCAATGGCATTAACACACAAGAAGAGAATGTTAACAACATTTAATCTATCTTGCTTATATCACCAAACAGACAATCTAGTCTGTACTTTGCAGTACTAAATTGTTAATACAATGTCAAAATTCACTAAACTTATTTCAAACATCTAGCAATTTCTAATTTGTCTCGTCAGTAATAGTCGATAATAGCTGATGTTATATTTAAATTAGCTAACTAACTGTTTCCTATTCTCATTAAGTGATTATTTGCCAGTTAATCATACAAATACATATAACTATAAATAAATAGAAAGCTCAAACAAATATCAGACTGGCATGTTATTATCATATGTTCCAACAATGACAAAACAAACAAATAGAAGGAAAAAAAAAGTCACATCGTATAACAACCAAAGTCTTATCCCACTAAGTGGGGACGGCTACATGGATCAAATTCTTTCATAATGTTCTATCCAAGACCATGTTTCAATCCAATTCGTTAATCTCGCGATCGTTTTTAATAGGTTCACTTATAGTTTTTTAAAGACTTCTCACCATCTAATATACTCTCTTTACAATAGAATCTACAAGTGTTCTCTTTACATGCTCAAACCACCTAAGTCTAATTTCTGTCATCTTTTATGCTTATAGGTGTTACCCCAACACTGGATATAATATTGTCATTTTTACTCTTATCTCGTCTAGTCTTACCAAGTTACCATACATCCAACGCAACATTCTCATATTTGCTACACTTTATTTTCGTGTTGATTCTTAACCACCAACATTTTGTCACATACGACATCACAGGTCTTATACCATTGTCAGATAAAACTTTCCCTTCAGTTTGAACGGTACTTTTGTGTCACATAAAATCTTTGAGGCCCTCCTCCATTTCATCCACCAAACTTGAATTTGATGGTTTACATCCTCCTTCTGTTTCTCAGTCGTTTTATATTACGCACACGAGATATTTAAAACGCGTGGCTTGTGGTACGATATGGTATCCAACAATCACCTCTAGGTAAGAAACACTTCTCCTTTTACTAAACTTACATTCCATATACTACATCTTACTTCTACTTAAGTGAAAGTCATATGTTTCTAAGACTCATCTCAAAGTCTCCAGTCTCTCATTTAAATCCTCCTTCGACTCTCCAAATAATACTATAACATCTGCAAAAAGCATACATCACAATTCTAACTCTTTTGGATGTGTTCCGTGAGTACATCTAAAATTAGAGTAAAAAGGTAAGTGCTTACGGTTGAACCTTGGTGCAATCCTATTGTAATAGGAAAATCATCCATCTCTCTACCTTGTGTCTGCACACTAGTCGACATCCCTCATACATATCTAGGATAACTCAAATGTAAGAAATCCTAACCCCTTTCTTCTTTAGGGTTTTTCACAAAATCTTTCTTAACATTCTATCATACGTCTTTTCTAAGTCAACGAAAATTAAGTAAGTTTTGTGTTGGTCCATCTGATACTACTTCATCACACATCGAAGTAGATATATTGCTTTCACAGTCGACCTCTAAATCATAAAACCAAATTGATTATCAGTAACTTGACTCTCTTTTCTTAATCTCCATTCGATCACTCTTTCTCTTAACTTCATGAAATGACTAATAATTTTAATTCTCCTATAATTTGTACAATTTGTATATCCCCTTATTCTTATAAATTAGAACCAAAATGCAAGTGTTTCTTCTCCATTCATATGCACGGTTTAAATGTTACATCTGCATTGCAACCACAATATATAAGGTATCACAATTGTTATGAGACCGCGGTTTAAAACCTTAATCATATGAATACAAAGCCATGCACAATTACCCTCAAAAGCACTCAAAACTAAATGCACAACCCACCTGGTCAGCAATTGCTCCAAGTCCCATGCTTTGCATTAAACTCTTAGCACCCCTACCACCAAGTTGTTGAACAGCTGCCCGAACCTCAGCCATTGACTTATCAGGGTTTATCTGTCATGAAACAATCAACACATCATGCAGTTCAGAAAAACACCAACAAAGCAATATCAAATTGTATAATAGATTTTCATACCTCAAGAGCATATAATGGAGAACTCACACCTTCAACCGGAACAAAATTTCCCCCTGTCAAATCCTAAAAGGACTTAAAGTTGTATCCAGATTGCAGAAACATGGGGAAAAAAATTGAATTCATAATATATTATTTTGTTGTGTTACAATAATAACTACCTGTGCAAAAGAATCACTCAATGAATGAGCAGGATCAGTTGACACCACCACAGTGGGGTGTCCATGATTTGCAAATTTGACAGCAAGAGAAGCAGCACAGCTTGTTTTCCCAACACCTCCTTTCCCCCCTAGCATGTAATACTTTCTATCATTCCCTTTCACCATTTCATCAAATCCACAAACACTTTCTGCTACATTTCCTATCAATCTCACTGCAATTTCACATATTTACAATTACTCTCTATTTTTGTGTAAAATTCAATGCGGCGTTAATTATTGTTTCATCAATAATATGGTTAAATCCCTAGAAATGCTGTAAAGAATTGTATATATGATTGATGTGATCGTTATGATTTGAAAATTGAAATACCTTGAGATAAAGTTGGGAGAATGAAAGGTGTTTGGTGCAACGGAGAGGAGGAGATAGAATTGAAGGTAGTGGTGACGTTGCGAAGAAGAATGGAGTTCTTTTGGGTTTTGAAAATGTGCCCAAGCAGCGCCGCCATTGCTGGAGTGTTTACAGAAGTAGAGAGAAGCTATGTGAGAACAACGCCACGTTTTTAGGGTTCAAGTTGGGTTTAAGTTTAGGTAGCAAAAATATGAGAAATAACAAAGATGTTTGAATTTTGACACTACGTCAAAACAATGAGGAATTATTTCAAGTAGGGGTTCTGCTAAAGGTTTAGACTTTCATCCTTTAATGTGATCGCTTTGTCTGTTCCATTTTTGTCGTGGGCTTTTGCGGACACATATATTTATATAAAATTTTGTATTTTTAGACTTAAAAGATAAAATGCCCGCGGGTTTTTCTCGTCCCGTCTTCACTTTTTTTGCAGGACGGGCGTAGATTTTAGGTTCGCATCCTTATCTATGTTCACCTCGCCCGCCCCATTTTTTTGCGGACTTTTGCGGGGCAGATCTAAACGGGACGAGCATACCCATTTGCCACCCCTAATTTCAATAGGTGAGTGTTGATTATATAAATTAACTTTTGCCACAATGTTTTATCTAAAATCAGGTTTATGTTCAAATTATCAATTTTGATATCTTTCTTAATAATTCTCTTATAGTTTTCCTAGGTTTTACTCTTTTTCTAATTGTTTGATTTCTCTCAATATGATATATTTTTCTTACCACAAAATCTATAAGTTTCTCTCTATATGTTTGTACTAGTAAAGAAACACAGGTGTGTGTGTGTCACCATTGTAAAGGACAGGGGTGCTCAGAGGTTTTAGTAGATATATTACGTTGTATGGTGATTAGGGTTTGCCTACGACAATGAGAAACCATGTACGGTGGTGTTTTGTTAGTGCTTTTGAGGATTTGATCACGTGAGGTGAGAAGTTATGAATATGTGTTGGTTGCTTGAGTATAAACGTGTCAGTTAAGATCTCCATGAGAGAGGTATTTATAGAGGCTTAAGGGCCTAGGGTTTCATAGGCAAAGGTCATCGCTCACCTAGTCAATGATGGACCGTTGAATCTATATTTTCAAAAAGGATGTGGGTCAGTCATGACCCTGACTTTTAATTTCCCTAGAAACATCTTATCCCGCGTTTTTCACGAATGGGCGATAAGGAAGCTTTAGGGGCAAGGTGGTACCTCTTTGAGGGCGATATATGATCATCGCCTCACTTGGGGTGGCCTATAATCATCGCCCTAGAGGTCTTTCATAAATATAACACTACATAGTCCCTCAAGAACGAGGCCTTTGATGGAGGACAAAGTGTTTTTAGACCATGGTACAGGGGAGTCTTCTAAAGCCCTGAGTTTGTCGATGACAATTGTGACGTGTTAGGCTCAGAGTCCTTTTAAGGAGAATCATATTGTTTGGTCTCGTCCGAGGGATTCTAAGTCCCTCAGAACAAGTTATATGCAACTCGACTTACGAGATTATAAGTCCCTCGGGCATGGCGATAGACCTCTCGCACGAGACTTCTTTCAACCCGATAGATAAGACTTTTGACTAAGTCTCTTAGGCTAGACTTCACTTGCGCCTCTTTGGCGTGATTTTTATGTCTGATCCCGCCAGAGGAAACCCTAAGTCCCTTAAGCGGGAGTATAGTTAGCCCGGGGAATCTAAATCCTACAGGATAATTTATATGTAGCCCGAATGATGAGAATATAAGTCCATAGGGCGAGGTGTTAGACCTCACGGGCGGGACTTCTATCAAGCCCTTAGACATGACTTATGATTAAGACTCTTAGGCTAGACTTCGACCACGCCTATTTAGTGTAATTTATATGTTTGACCCGCCCAAGGAAACCCTAAGCCCCTTAGGCAAGAGTTTAGTTAGCTTGGGGAATCTAAGTTCTTCATGCGAAGTTATATGCAACCCGACTAATGAGACTATAAGTCCCAGAGGTGATGCGTTAAACCTCACGGACATGACTTCTATCAAGCCCTCACACAATACTTGTGATCAAGTCTCTTAGGGTAGACTTCAGTCGCGCCTCTTGGGCATGATTTTTATGTTTGATCCCGCCCGAGGAAACCTTAAGTCCCTCAAGAGAGAGTTTAGTTAGCATGGAGAATTTAGGTCCTTTAGGTGAAGTTATAAGCAACCCGAATGATGAGACTATAAGCCCCTCAAGCGAGGCGTTAGACCTCACAGGAAGGACTTTAATCATGCCCTCAAACAAGACTTGCGATTAAGTCTCTTATGCTAGGCTTCAGTCGCATCTCTTGAGCATGATTTTTAGACCTGATCCCGCCCGAGGAAACTCTAAGTCCTTCAGACAAGAGTTTGGTTATCTTGTTGAATCTAGGTACTTCACACGATCTTATATGCAGCCCAACTAATGAGACCATAAGTCCCTCAGGCAAGGCGTTGGACCTCACAAGTAGGACTTGAAGGTTGAGAAACACAAGAAATAGGGGTTTAAATTGGGTTTCACATTTCGTCGCCGTTTTCGGAATTAAACTAATGCCTTTAACAAGTAAATAAAAATAAATGAACACAATTATTTTTATCCTGGTTCACTGTTAACGAAGCTACTCCAGTCCATCAACCTTGGTGATTTCGCCTTAGACAAGGACTTAATCCAATAATCATCAAAATGATTACAACCTCTAAGCTGTTAAATAACACACTTAGCCTTCTCAAGCATCCTGACTTTCACTTAGCCGCTCAAGGAAATCATCAACCCACAATGGATACCCTCTATTATCTTCTTGAGAATTTTGACTACGACGAGTCCCCCAAGGAATACAATCACCTTTTGACAAAGGATTTCTCAAGCTACCTTCAACAAGGATTTATGTCACCTTTAGAAAAAGGATTTTACATGTGTACACTTAATGCTTCTTACAAGCTGATTATACACAAATGAAGTACAAGAACACCTAAGTGTTTCTAGCAAGTTCTTGAGCAGCATCTCCTTGCTTTCTAATACAAAACTATCTAATGATAAATATCTAAGAGAATATAAAGCATACTAGTTTTGTATTGCTTAAAACCTTTCTTATTGAGCACTATGACTTCTTTTCATGAGCTTTAAGCTTCTTTCTGATGTACTCCTTTCTTGAGCAAGTAATGCTTCTTCCAGCTTAACCATCAAGATCAACTAAGTTACTATGCTTCACTTATTGATGTTTCACTTGACTAGTTTCACATGGCTTTATCATATTCATCATTTGTACACACATTCAAACAGTTTGCTTCAACTTCTTCTTCATTGAGCATTCTTCATTTAAGCTTCAGCTTGTAGCATTTTCTTCAGCACTTTGGCTTTGCATAGCAGTGTGCTATCACCAGCAACCAGCAATTCTTCAAGCTTCTTGATCTTCAATTTATAGAGCTTGAGAGGATAGATTTATCGAGGGGTATTCTTGGAAACATATTCCAACAGCAATATCCAAGCGTTCACATGAAGGAATGATCAACATCACTATACAAAAAGCTGCTCTTGCGCCACCTTATCGAGGTAGAGGTCACAGTTTTTGAATTCTTATGTTCAACTTAAAACCATTCTTATATTCAGTATTTCTAATGTCTATGGTGGCTTCAAATAAAACGCTGATGAAGCATGTTGTAGAAGATTTAATTCTTTGCAACTTCAGAAACCCAGTCTTTAGAATTCCAAGATCTTTGTTCAGCAGACCTATCTTTAGAATCTTCAGCACTCGTTCTTTTAGAAGTAATATCTTCAAAGTCTTTAGAGCTTGTTCCTTCAGAACCTTGTCTTCAGAGTCTTCAGAATTCATTAAGCACACTCTTGTCTTCAGAGTCTTCAGTACTTCGTTCACCTGAACCTTGTCTTCAGAAACTCTTCAGAACTTGACCTTCATATATTGTGTCTTCAGAATCTTCAGAACCATGTTTACCTGAATCACGTCTTTTGAAACTTCAGAACTTGTAACATTAGAAGCACATCACATTAGAAAGCCTTATAGGCCTTTCTCATAAAGTCTCAATTAGAATGTCTAGGACTAACGTTCATTAGAACCATCGTATTAGAAACATTCATGAATCTTGACTTTATCTTGTACACACATATGTTTTCTTCCAGAGTGTTGATAACAGAGTTTGATGAAGTCACATGTCTTCTTATCAGAGTTAGAATCATATTGGCAACAATCACACACTAGACAGAAACCATATCAGACATAATTATTCTCTTAGATAATATGTGCAGTTATTATCAAAACTCAAAGGCCAGATGTAGAACCAAATCTTGTTCTTACAATCTCCCCCTTTCTGATGATGACAAATAATGCATATATAGGGTAATCACCATAAATCCATAGAGTCAAAGATAAGCTTAACGAGTTCTCCCTGAACCTATTACTCTTAAAATTCATTTATGCTTGTTCAGAGTCTCCCCCTGATCCCAAGACTCACAAAATGATTTTGAAGTAGAATCATATCAACGGAGAAGGATTACTTCTCAGTGACGTCTCATCAAAATCTGACTAGAATCGGTTGGTCTTCATCTCAGAACCTAGCTTGCTATCAGAATATTGTAGACGTATCAGAACCTGATTTGTCTTATCAGATTTGTTGTCTTGCATTATATATCAGAAACTGGTAGATACTTTCTTAGATTCCACACGTCATGTATGAAAACCAAATCTTCAATATCTTAGCACAAATCACCAACAAGTGCACATATCCTCATGTCATTTGATGGTTCAGAAATCAAATATTTTCTTTAATGACCATGACTTGATTTGATCTCTGAAAGATTCACATCTTTTTAATGCTGGAGCCTAGATACCATTTGAAGTTTAGATACCAATTGAATTTTAGATACTAATTGAATCATTCTTTCAAAAAGTTAACAACTTCTGACAAGTTTTGGGTATCAGCGCGAAACTCATGGACATTCTTTGTTTCTGATAACTTAGTGGTTAACACCAGATATTCATATATTATCAAATCAAGCTTGTTTAGCAATTTTATTTCTTGTTCAACGACTTCTAAGTATATTAACTTCTGAAGTACTTGATTCTTGAACATATCTTCTGATAGTTTATCAAATACAAATTATGTATTCTGATATAT